AGAGAGTACAATTTGCCGATTTCGCCGGAGCAGTATCTGGCCAGGTTTCGCGCTGAGCTGCATTGGCTGATCTCGGATGTGAAGCTGAAGCCGGGCGCCAAGGATCTGCTGCTGCATCTGTTCGAGTATCGCGTGCCCATGGCCATGGCAACGTCGGGCTATCGAGACACCTTCTGCCTGAAGGCACGACCGCACTGCGACCTGATGCCCGTCTTCCATCACATCGTCTGCGGGGATGATCCCGAGCTGAAGGAAAGTAAACCGCATCCGGACATCTTTCTGCTGGCGGCGTCACGCTTCAAGCCAGCACCACCGCCCGAGTGCTGTCTGGTGTTCGAGGACTCGACGCAGGGCAAGGATGCGGGCGTGGCCGCGGGCATGCAGGTGGTAATGATACCCGACGAACGCCTGCCCCTCGAGGAGACCAAAGGCGCCACGCTGGTGCTCAAGTCCATGGCAGACTTCCAGCCGGAGCTGTTCGGCCTGCCTGCCTACGATTATGCGGAAAAGTTTACGTTTGGCTAGCGCTTGGCATTTTTTTCTTGCTCAAAATTTGCAAAGTATTTTATTTCAGTCATGGGATACAAAAATAAAAAAATCTCTTAGTTTTAAATTTCTGAAAAATGAAATCTAATTTTTTGCGAAATTTCGAAATTATTTAAATTTAGTTTTGGGCTTTATATTATAAAAATCAATTTTAATTTTATTTCCGACATCAAAATTTTCAGTCATTAAAAAATACATAATTCCAAATATAAATTGTTTTACTTAAGGTGACTAAAATTTCTTAATCTAAGACTTAAAAAGAATGCCAAAATATATTTATTTTTTAAGCTTATCTTAATTGTATAATTTCCTTTCAATTTCTGTTTTAATTGGTAAATTTGCTATGTTGCAAACTTTTATCAAATAAAGATATGAAAAAACTTGGACTTTAAAATATATATATATTTTTTTACCCCTTTCTTTAGCTGCCCTTGAGTGCTTCCTGTGGCGCGCTCGTTCATTAGGCAAAAGCGGAAGTGGGGCGCAAATGCTAAAAAAATAATGATTCGAAAATAAAAAGCAAAGTCGCCGTCGCCGTTGCAGTTGTTAAAAGGTTTATTCACTTTACTTTTATGCGCGGCGCAGAGATAGAGAAAGAGAGAGAGAGACAGAGAGAGAGAGAGAGAACTTGAGATTGAACTGGAGCTGGAGCTAGAGCTGAGGCTGAGGCTGAGGCTGAGGCTGAGGCTGAGGCTGAAGGCCCGAGGCGGTGCTACAGACTGGCCTGGCAGCTGTTCGACAGTCTGGTTAGAACATTAAGTAATTATAAGTTGAGACAGACGTTTCTGTTGTTGTTGCTGTTGTAGATGTAGTTGTTGTTGCAGAGGCAAAAGTTGCTAGTCCCAAGCTGTGCTACAGCTGCTCGAGCTAGAGCTCCACATACACACGGCGTATGCGTAATATGCTGAATAATTAAATTGTCAACAATTGACTTTTGGCAGACGCACAGACAGACAGACCGACTGAGAGTCGGACACTCATTAAAATATTATATTTGCCTATGCAATTAATTTTGATTTATCGCTTTGAAATTTTCCTGTGTGCTTAAAGCCCTAATTTGGGCAAAAGACGAAGCTGAAGCTGTCGGCAAGTGTAGGAATTTCTATTTCCCAGTGAGACTTGTCAGAGATAATAATAATATGTTGTAGGCAATAGACTGAAGTATTCTTAGACGTTTGACATTGGCTTGAGTAGCTAATTATGTGTGATAGTAATTACTGTGGCAATAGAAACTAAAGCAAGATTTTCCTATTCTCCTTTTTAGGTAATTTTAGCAGCTGCTTTAGTTTATACATTTATGTGTATTGTTTTATAGGCTTATATTATAGAGTTGCTCTATTAGAACTTAAAAATTATCATATGTTTTGCTGGATCAAATTTATTTATGGACTTGCATTGAAGCTGACAAATTTTATTTATTATGTATTCATTATTAGTTATCATATATTATTATT